ATTTTTGATAATTATTTCCAATTATTCATATTTAAAAACAGTCTGGCAGGACACCTCAGTGGCTCAGTCAGTTAAGGGGCTGCCTTCGGCCTAGGTCATGATCCCGGGGTCCTGGGATCGAGTCCTGCATCAGGCTCCCTCCTCAGCTGGGAGCCTGCTTCTCCCTCTGCCTCTGCCCCACCCCCAGTTTATGCCCTCTTACTCTCTCTAATAAATAAAATCTTTAAAAAAAAAAAAAAGTCTGGTAATGGACAACTTCATATATGTATGTGTGGGTATGGGTGTGTATGTGTGTATTTTCTAAACATTCATAATTATTAACATCAGATTAATTGCCTTAAAGGGAATTGCCGAGATCAAAAGCTATGTAAAATGCTAAGATTTTTGGTAGATATTTTCAAATTGCTTTTAAGAAAAGGTTGTACAGGGGTGCCTGAGTGGCTCAGTTAAGCATCCGACTCTTGGCTGAAACCTCTTGGGAGATCAAGCCCTGCGGGGAGCTCAGTGGAGAGGCTGAAACCTCTTGGGAGATCAAGCCCTGCAGGGAGCTCAGTGGAGAGTCTGCTTCCACTCTCCCCCTACCCCCTGTCCTACCCCCCACCCCCGCTCGCTCGCTCTCTCTTAAATAAATAAGCCTTGAACAAAGAAGAGAAAAGGTTGTAAAAATTTCCCTTCCCATTGGCCTAGTAGTGAGTAGAAAAAAATATATATTTATCTTCTTAAAGCCTTTATTACTCCACTTTCTATTCTGGATCTTGGGGAACCTTGGAGTTTAAGCAACATGCATCTTCCCCCTCTTACTGCCGTGACCACGTCAGCTGCATATATACAGCCTCCTGAGTAGATTTTGCTTGCTCCAATGTCTTCAGCTAATTTCAAGTTCATTTAGGGTGGTAACACTTTTGGAAAGCAACAGGGTAAAGTGGAAAGAACATGGACTTTGGAGTTAGACATACCAATTTCTAGATCTCAGCCCTGCTAACTTATCAGTTACGCTTCATTAGGCAAATCACTGTCTTATCTATAAAGCAGGAGTATTATTACCTCCTTTATTGTAGGCAGTAAGTTCATGTGAAACTGTCGACCACATGATGCTTGGTACATAGAGTAGGTGCTCAAAAAATGTTCCTTCTCCCTTTTTATTTCCCACACAGTGCTTGGTCCAGTGCTGTGCACGCACCAGGTACCTATAAATATAGCAGATGCTTGTTGTATGAGTAAAAGCAGCCCAGACAGGCTTCAGAGTGCCTGAGAGTTGCCTGAGCAAATGGGCTGTTGCTTGGGCCCAGTGGCCCAGCAGCCTAAACCGGAACAGTAGACTCCAAGTGCCTGAAATATGCCCGGAATCCACATGTCTCAGTCTGTGTTCTATATCTCTCTAGTTCCATGATCAAAATGAATAAGTAGGGATTTGAGGAAAATTCATTTCTCAGGAGGCCTCTCTCCAAGCTTCATAGAGCAACAAACAAATTCCAAAGTAAGCTCGTGTGGAGCTCTATTCTCTGATCGGTGGATTGGTCAGAATTCTCTGCTACAGTGGGCTCTCTCTAGGAAGTGATTATCTCCCCAGTCTTCCCTGTAAAGTGGTAGCATCGATCACACACTCGGTCCTCAGGTAGCAGAAACCAGGGTTGTGCCCCTGGCCCCACAGTCTCTCTCTGTAGCTAAGCGTGATCATTTCCTGGTGTGCTGTTTCTGTGAATCCTGGATCTTAATGACAACTTCTTTTGCAGGTTTTTTTTCTTACTGTTTATATAGGAGCAATCGTGTGCAATCCCACCTGAACAAAAAGCACAAAAGGAAAACTTCTAAGTAGGGAGGGGTAGATTTTAAATGTCAAATGCAAAGTTTACCTGGAGAAGTTGGAATTTTATTCCTACTGATGGCTTTTCATGATGTTTGTTCTTCTAGAGCAGGCTACTTTTTGTTACCTTTTTTGAAAGAGAACTTCGCTTGATTACTGTATATTTCATTAGCTTCACCCTGAGAAACAAGACTTACCTTGGATTAAAACACAGTAAGTGCTTTGGTTCCTTTTTTTTTTTTTTTAAACAAGCATCTAGGAAACAGCCTGGTGCTGTAGTGCTCGGGCTTTAGACAGACTTGGGTTGTCTGCACTCTGTCATTTACCAGCTGTGTAACTTTGGGCAAGTTACCTAACCTCGTTAAGCTTTTTTACTTTCCTCATCTACAGGATTGCTGTGAGAACCCAATGAGCTCATGTGTGAAAAGTAAATGAGATGATGTATGCAGAGTGCCAGGCAAAGGGACCTGCATATGGTGGGTCCTAATGTCCATGTCTTGGGCCATTCAGGTTACAGCTCAAACCTTAAGTCATCTGGGATGGGTGATGGCAAGCATCAACCCATCTGAGGCAGTGACTGGACAGAGTCACTGCTAATTACATTTTGCAAATTTTTTTTTTTAATAGTAAAATCTATGTCAACTTTCATTGTTCCCCAGTACTTTAAATTGTTTCCTTATGTCATTAAGCTGACTTAAACTTAAAATCACAAATCTACTTTACTTTTGCTAATACTTCTTTTAACTTGACCAGTGGAGTCATAACTGGCTAACATATTAAAGCAAATCAGATCTTTTCACATATATTCCAAATGTGGATGTGTACTGACATGGCCAGCGGTGATCAAGAGGGGTTAGCTCCATGCTCCATCTTGACAACAAGAAAAAAAATCTGCAAAAGAAGTTGTAATTAAGATACAGGATTCACAGAACTTGAAGTCCCATGCTCCATCTTACTTCGGAGTTGCTTTATAGCCAGTAACAGGGCCCATCACCACCTCCTTTTATGGTTGTCTTCTGTTAGATAATTATTTGTTAACTTTTTGAGATGTTGAAATATAAAATGCTGCCAACTTGGAAAACAATAGCCATTACTGTGGAAGAGCTTCATGGCAATGGGAGGAAGGGGGCGTCAAGCTCCCTTCCCAGATGACCGTGTTTACCCAGAGCATTCTGCTCCAAGGGTTGCTGCGGAGCTGGGGAGAAGACAATGAAGTATAGACATTAACAGCATCTGTCAGTTTGGGCCTCACCCTATGAGCTCATTTAAGCTCACCTAGGATGCTCACTGTTTGGATGGGTCAACTCTCTAAAATCAGATGGGAAAAGAAGCCTTTTGAATAAGATAAAAAGATGAGGAAACATTACACATAACCAAAGCATTCGAATATAAAGTCAATAGAACTTTCCACTGTTACTCCATTGTTTCTGATTCTCCCCAGTAAAAACTTAAAGACCTTTTTCTATCTGACACTTTGTTGTGGAACCTTGCGTGAGACTTAACTGTCTCTCGGGCGCCTGGGTGGCTCAGTCGGTTAAGCGACTGCCTTCGGCTCAGGTCATGATCCTGGAGTCCCAGGATCGAGTCCCGCATCGGGCTCCCTGCTCGGCAGGGAGTCTGCTTCTCCCTCTGGCCCTCCCCCCTCTCATGTGCTCTCTCTCTCATTCTCTCTCTCAAATAAATAAATAAAATCTTAAAAAAAAAAAAAAAAAGACTTAACTGTCTCTGGGCCTTGGATTTCTTATCTCTAAAATGAAGGTGGAAGTCCCTTCCTGCTTACACATACCTAAGCTTTTAAAATATAAATATCTGCTGATTTGACGAAACATTAGGACAAAATATAGAGTCACTCAAGCTTCGCAGGCGCTGGGGAGTCATCCATGCACAATAGGATTCTTTTAAACCAGTTCCTACAGTATTGAATTTTTCCTTTCCCCAAGAGCTCTATAAAAAAATGGTGTTTTCTTGCCAGAGACATCAAGGCCTCAGAACTACTGCCCTTCTTCTATGAACATATTATATGGTTTGTGTTTGGCTTCAGATCTTTTTAACAGACAGCCCAGCTCCAGTCTGAGAGGCTGACTCAACAGAACTCCTCCGGCACATTCCTGGTCTTTTCGGGATTAAAGTGCCCATTTGCTGCCAGCTTCCGGGCAGGCTGGGAGCTGACTCTGCCTCTCTTGTCCTTATGTATCCAAGGCAGGAGAAGCACCGCAGCACTGCTTCATTCCCTGTTTTACTGTAGACGTTTTCCAGAGCATTTCTCCCATTTCTCTGATGGTTAGAGCTTGAGCCAAGCAGGTCTCTCATTTGTGTTCATGGCCTGGTCAGGGACCACTCGGGTCCTGTCGGTGGTGCTTGTCTGCCCCGAGCCTGCCATACACGCAGTCCCTGCCCTTCTTTCCTGCCCTCTTCCTCGTGCTGCTGTCTTACCCCCTGATCCGCCCCCTCATAATTGCCAGGGATCTTCTTTTCTTTCCCTTGATGGAAACCCCAACAGAACCTCAAAGGTTTTAGGAGTAAGGTTTGAATGTTTTATTATGGAAAACTTCAATTGTGTGCAAAAGTAGAGAACACAGTATAACAAGCCTCATGGACCCATCACCCAGCTTCATTAATCTTCTTTCATCTACTCCTCCTAACTCTAGATTATTTTGAAGTAAGTCTCACACGTCACATCATGTCCAGTTCCCTTTTTTCAAAATCCTCCCCTCTTCGCAATTCACTTAAGCGAAAGACCTAAGTAACCCTCATCCAGGTTTCATGTCACTTAGCCCCAACCGCCTCCAGTCTCCCAAGCTGCCAACCTGCTCACAAGTGGCTGCCCCTGCCCTGTGCTCACTCAGCGCCCTTCTGATGGAACAGCTGCAGGACGGTCCAGTTCACCGGCCTGGTGAGGGTTCCTTTACAAGATGGCTAGTTAAATGGGAAGGAAAGGCTATTTCAAGCATGAGGGGGCAAGTTAGGAAAAGATACCTGAGTCACATCTCGCTGGCCGGGAGAAGGTGAGCTTACTTGTTTTTATCCACACTCAGCCGCGACAGGCTGGATAAGACACACTGCCCAAGATAAAATGGCGGCTGTGAGAGCAAGCTCTAGCCTCACTGCCGCTCCACTTGCCCCTTACCCGGGAACCCGTCAGACTGTCCTCCTGGGAGGGATCTAAAGGCTTCTCTTCCCCCATCTCCATTTTCAGATGCAGTGGCAGAATGTGGAGCACGTTGGTGACCAGAGCCCTTATGTCACCTCTGTCATTCTTCACATTAAGCAGAATGTCCCTATTATCCGTGACAACCTGGCTTCCACACGGAAATATTTCACTCAGTTCTGCATTAAATTTGCAAAGTAAGTCCTGGAACAACAACCTCCTCCTCCTCCTCCTCCTCCTCCTCCCTTTCCTCCTCCCTTTCCTCCTCCTCCCTCCTCCTCCTTCTTCCTTCCTTTTTTTTGTTTTTTGTTTTTTGTTTTTTAAGTAGGCTCCACGACCAACCTGGAGCCCAACACGGGGCTTGAACTCACAACCCTGAGATCAAGACCTGAGCTGAGATCAAGAGTCAGATGCTTAACTGATTGAGCACCCCCCCCCCGCCACGCACCCCTGGAACATTCTCATCACTTGGTTATTTTGAATGCCATACTTACGACCAGCATGCTCCCAATCCAGGTGTCCCACTATCCAGCTGGGGCTTATTCTGGTGCCTGTAGGTGAACTAATATGTTTCTACCCCAAAGAAGCATAATAAAACTAAATCCACTACTTAAAGTCACAAACAACAGTAACAGCATGAAGACAAACTCAGAAATGAGTTGGGAAAACTGTTACTTTGAATTATGTGAACATAACAGTGCCCCTGCCTCCCCACAGGTTGGGATAATTAAAATTATTTTTCAGTGATGTCATGTATATATTTTGTCTTTCCAACTACATTATAAGCTTTTTTAGGGTGAGAACCCTCAGTTCTGTTTCTTTTAAGCCTTCTCTTTCTCCTTCCTCATAGTACTCATTACTGGGGCTGCCAGAATGTATCTGCTTCTGGACATCCTTGAGTCCAGGGAAGGTACTAGAAACTGGTCAGAGCAAGGCTGGGGGTCCCATTGCCAAAGGACATGAAGTGAACGCTTGCATTGCATGTCTTCCTGCTACGTCCTCGTGTGTGGCCATTTCTGGCTTGACGTTTGGAAGTAGGGAAATAAATGGTTTGGTCCTTTGCCAGTCAGCATCTGGCTGTAGCACCGTTTCCCCTGAGGCCAGGCAATGTAGAGGGTCAGTGCCTCCTCTGACCAACGAGCAAACAAGCGTTTTGGCACACACATCTCAAGGAAGGGCTTCAGGAAGGTCAGCCTATCCCAAGCTACTGTATTTAGGTTGTCCTCATCCGAGTCCCAAGGGGGGATTTAGGGCTCCAAGTTTCTGTCTTCCCCAAATCTCTCCCGGTTTGTATTCAATTAAGGCTCTCTCTCTCCCTCATAAATAAATCCCTAAGGAACAGCAATTAATGGAGGGGCTTGTGGCATTAGCTTCAGTTTCTAGTTTGTCAAAAAAGGGTCGAGTAGACTCTCCAGGGAGGCGTTAATGTTTGCAATATGGCACATGAACCGGGAGTTGACGTTCCCTTCACTCTCTGAGTGCTCATCAGTGTGTGTTAAAGGCATTGCTGATAAATCACATTGTGACACTCCCATACCCTCGGTAGAAACAATGTCTCTTTAAAATTTTACTATGGCCAAAAATCTCTGGTGTGGTTGCACAGGGGTCAGACTGAGCTAACGTTTAAAGTGAGTAAAGGGTCCATTGGCTTCGCTAGCCCCGGCATCAGCCTCACAATCTCTCGGAGCCCTTTAATTTTTTTTTTTTTTTTTTTTAAGATTTTATTTATTTATTTGAGAGAGAGAATGAGAGACAGAGAGCATGAGAGGGAGGAAGGTCAGAGGGAGAAGCAGACTCCCTGCCGAGCAGGGAGCCCGATCGGAGCCCTTTAATTTTATTACTAAGCTCATTTTGGGTGAGCTAGGAACAGGATGCCCATCTCTCACATCTGGAAAAGTTTAACCTCCAATAGAAAAAGTGGCTTTCTGATTTAATCCACGGTACCCTCTCCTCCTTGTAAAATCCTAGCCAAGAGTAGAAACCTCAGAGGTAGCGCTGTGGGAAGATCCTTCCCCGGCAAGAGCAAGAGCCACCACCAGCCCCCACAGCTGGGGCAGCCCCGGCCACACCCCATGAGCTCCCCATCACACTGCCAGGACTTCTCCCCTCGCCCTCCCCGTGACATGTTTCTGGTCCCTGTGTTTTCCTCACCGACTCTTGCAGGCTAGCACACAGAGCCGATTCCAGGGTACAACCAAAGCCTACTCTAGACAGAAGTAACTTAGGTTATACACTGTGTGTACCATTGCGATTAGTCATGAATTCAGTCTCACGTTACTTGTTTGGCCTGGCTCTGGTTTCGAGCCCTGAAGAATCCCTTCTACATGTCCCTCTTCTCCCTCCTGATCAGCAAACCTCCCCCTAGATCTGATCTCTGGAGTTTATGTTGCTTTCTCTTTAACTTCCTTTCTTATCTCATCAGTGCAAAGCCATGCATGTTTCCTTTTGCCTACATTTGGTCTCTGAAGCAACAGCAGTCTTTCCTCTCTAGACATCAAGATCACCCCTCAATTAAAACTGCTATTTGAGGGACACTCAGTTGAGCATCCAACTCTTGGTTGCAACTCAGGTCATGATCTCAGGGTTGTGTGACTGAGCCACTTCCTCTGCCCCTCCCCCCTCTCAAATAAATAAGTAAATCTTAAAAAATGAAAAAACTACTATTTGAACCATAAGCAGCTTCCCTCATCCACTAAGCTGGGTCTCTTCCATTCAGTAATGGGGACAATAAGACAAATCTCTTAATAGTGGTTTAGAGGATAAAATGTGTAAACTTCTGGTAAATTGCTGGTACCAAGCTAACATTCAAAAAGCGGTAGCTGCTACCATTTTAATTTGTTATTATTTATTATTTATTCAGCATGCAGCCATTTGAGCACCTGCTATGTCCCAGACAGAGAATTAAGTGGTTTGGCTTAGTAGATATGGTCCCTGTTTTCATTGCCTTACAGTCAGGTGGAGGGAAATAAACATGTAAGCAAATAAGTATAGTAAAGAGGGTTATATGCTAGGCTAGAGGTCTGTGGGCTCTATGTAGAGTATGGTGCAGGTGAATGAGGAAAGGTTTCATAAGGAGAGAGATCCAGGCGCCTGGGTAGCTCAGTTGGTTAAGCGACTGCCTTCGGCTCAGGTCATGATCCTGGAATCCTAGGATCGAGTCCCACATCGGGCTCCCTGCTCAGCAGGGAGTCTGCTTCTCCCTCTGACCCTCCCCCCTCTCATGCTGTCTCTCTCAAATAAATAAATAAATAAATAAGATCTTAAAAAAAATAATAAGGAGAGAGATCCTTGAGCAGGGCACAAGAGATGTATGTGTACTGACCCACAAGGCCACAGGGAAGGGCATTCTGGGCACAGAGAGCAGTGTAAGCAAACGCACAGAGGCATTAAGTAGGCTGCAGAATCAAGCATAGGGTGCCACAGCTTAGCATGGTAAGGCTAGGGACAGAGAATCAAGACAATCAAGGAAGGCCTTGTCTGCAGCCATTACAAGAATTTTAATCAGGGAAGGGTCTTGAGCATGTTTGCATCTGCAACAAATCCCTTCAGCAGCTGATGGTTAGCAAAGATGAGGCTGAAGGCAGCAAGACCAGTTAGGAAAGAATTGAAAGAGCTCAGTGAGAAGGGTAAGGGCAGCAGTGGTGGGCATGGTCAGGAGGCCGAGGAAGGGAGTGCAGGCGAAGGGCTGGAAACTGAGTGCTATTGGGGTGGACGGCCGAGGGAGCAGTCTCGAGGAACTCATGGTTTCTGGCTTGGATGACTGGGTGGGTGAGCTCGGGTCCACTGGGCCTGGGTTCCAGGGTGGGGCTGAGTCCCGGATACGCTGGAATTGAGGTGCCAGTGCCATTCCAGTGAGGTGACCAGTACTCCATGGGGTATTTGAGCAGGCACAGATGTGTAGAGAGATCGGAGAGGGGGAGGCATGGCCCTGAGAGCAGCTTTTGCAGAGTGGGAGAGGAGGGAGCTAGCCAGCCTTTATCTTGACCTCCACACCCTGTTTTATTATCCCTCCTCCCTTGGTCATGGGCCCTATGTTCTCCTCGTCAGTCCACCCTGGGTCTGGCCTTGGTTATAGGCATTTCTCATCCCCACACCTTCCATTCTGCACCTGTACAACAGCTTTCCCTACTCAAGCCCCACAGTTTTTTCTAAAAAGCCCTCCTGCCCTATTAAAATTCCTTCTCCCTTTCCCCAAACCAGCTTGCCCTTCAGTCCCCAGTAAATTTTTCAGAGATCATATATTTTTTCCCTTGTTCTGAGAGTTACTCCCTTTGCAATTATTTCCTGTCTTTGCATTTAACATCCTATAACTATCTCACTATCTTGTCTGTTAGGGTGTTTTCAGATGCTAGTAATAGAAGCCGTGACTTAAACTCACTTAAACATAAGATGAACTTTGTATTTCGTATAACCAGAAGGTCAGAGGTAGGGCACATCCAAAGGTGGTTGATTCAGTGGTTCAGCAATGTCACTAAGGACCCAAGTTCCTTACTCTACCCTGCTCTCCTTGGGGCTGGCTTCATCCTTAGAATAGTGGCAAAGTGGCTCTAGGTGTTCTGTCCAAATGTAAGAATACCCTGAAGAAGGAGAGAAAGACTTCCCCCAGCCATGCAATGAAGTCCATTCCTCTGGTCTGATTGGCTGGCTTAGATCATGTCCCCACCTCAGGACCAGCAACAGTCAACAAGGGAATGCCATGTTCTGACTGGCTGAGGCTAATTAGAATTCACCTCTGCAGTTTAGGAGGGATCAGCTTTTCCCCAGCATTCTAAAACCACATATACCTAAATAAAACCAGGGTTTGGGCTGGAAAGAAACAGAAGGCAGTGAATGCCAGGAGGCCACAGTAGCATCTACTTTGATTTCTGTTTTCTTGTGGAAGGAAGTAGGGCCTTTAAAAAAGTTTCTGGGGCGCCTGGGTGGCTCAGTCGGTTAAGTGTCTGCCTTTGGCTCAGGTCATGATCCTGCAGTCCTGGGATCGAGCCCCACATCGGGCTCCCTGCTCTGCGGGGAGCCTGCTTCTCCCTCTGCCTCTCTCTCTCTCATGGATAAATAAATCTTAAAAAAGTTTCTGCAGTTCTTTACCAAAAAGAGAATAAGCCTGGGGCACCTGGGTGGCTCAGTCTGTTAAGCATCCGACTCTTGATTTCGGCTCAGGTCATGCTCTCAGGGTCATGAGATCGAGCCCCACGTCAGGCTCTGCGTTCAGCATGGAGTCTGCTTGTCCCTCTCCCTCTTCTCCTCACCCTCACTGGTGCATGCTTTCTCTAAAATAAGTAAAATCTTAAGAGAGAGAGAGAGAGAATAAGCCTAATTTGTCCCTTTTTTTTATTCACAGCTCCTTCATTCCCAAGTTCATCACCCACCTCTTCAAGTGCAAGCCAATTAGCATGGTGGGAGCAGAACAGGTGAGAAGAATCGGTACAGAGTCTTTTTCTTATGGCTTTTGTCTTAGGTCAAACACAAATCTTTCTAGTAGGGATTTACTCTGAAGAAATAAAATTGCCGATTTCGCGTTTGGGGACAGAAGGATGACCTGGCAGCTTAATTCATCCACTTATTTAAGCCACTTTTGTTGAGCGCCCGGCTGTTGTGCTGGGCCCAGGCGTACCGCAGTGAACAAAACAGAAAAGCTCTTTCCTTCGTGGTGCTCACAGCCTAGTAAGAAGAGACAGATAAGATGTGAGTTAACAAGTAAATGAGAAGATAGTTTTACCTTGAGTAGGCCAAAGGGTATAAAACTAGGTTCTGTGCAAGAAAATCTTAGGGGCATGAGGGAGTCATGGCTTCAGATTGGACACCCCGCAGACGCTCCTCCGAGAGCTGGCGCTTGAGAAGAACTAGGAGTGAAAGGTCCAGGCAGAGGGAGCCGCAAAGGCTCTGATTATTTTGGATCCCGCAGTGGTTGGGCAGACACCACTCCAGAGTAGCAAGCAAAGAAAGGCTTCTCCTTTTGGCACTGAGACGCTGTCCACCTCACCCGAGAAGCCTCCCTTGATTAGCCCCGCTCTGTTCACTTGAACTCTGTGCTTCAAGACCTCTCCTCACCGGCTGTGTCCCCTCGGCACTGGTGAGCTGAGCTACGTGCTGCAGCGGAGTCGCCTCTTTTCAGCCACCACCTATCCAGACCGTCTGAAATCTGAGCAGCTGAATTTGGAGAACAGTTTAAGCTGCTTTAAGAACAGAAACAATAATTCAGCCCCTAATTGTTGACAGACACCTATTCAGATACAAGCTATTCATGTACTGATCACAAATGATTCTCATATATTCACTAAAATAAATCCTCTCTAGACCTCTGTGTAGCACCATTGAACCTGTTCCAGTTACATTTTATATTTGAAAGAACTCCCAACAACATTTGTAAGTAAGATAATATAATTCAAGACATTTCCGTAAGTCTTGCTCTTCCACCAAGTTAGTCGACTTGGTAGAGGCTCAGCTGTTTCCCAGCTCAGTGACTTGCCCTCACCCTGGGCCCTCAAGCGTTGCCGACCCGAGTCATGTCCCCGGAAGACGGCAAGTTGGCATGTGCCCGGTGCATCATGGATCTCTCGTGAAGTGTCGAAGCCGGAGATGTAATATCTGTGAACATCAGGAATCTCTTGAATCTGATATGTGCACTCTATTTTAATACTCTTTTTATACTCCTTTTGTACTTATACAAAAAGTTTTTATACTCTTTTTGTAAGGCCATCGCCTTTCCAGCTTATGAAAAAGCAGTATGGTGTGAGCATGAAGATCCTGGGGTGCAGAATCATGAAGGTGTGCAGCTAAATCCTCTCTCTGCAACACAGCAACTGCTTGTCCTTCGACAAACCTCCCAGCACATTAGTGTCCTCATCTGGAAAATGGGGATGACGTGGTCCCACCTTGCAGGGCAGTTGTGAGGATTGAACAAGACCGTGCACGTCAAGTGCTTGATGCAGTGCCTGGCACATGTAAGCCCCTGGCAGATTCCAGCTCTTCCTAATTTTCGCTTTCTCAGACCAAGAACGTGCCTTTGTTTCTGCTTTCAGTACCCGCCTCACCTGGTAATGACATCTGGTTGCTACTTGCTGCAGGCTATCTGGCTGACCAGCTTTAAAAGCCAGAGTCAAAAGTATTGTCTCAGAAAGCTTCCTGGGGGGTTGCATGGATTCAGACAGACACTGCCTGTAGAGTTTCAGTGTTTTGAAATTCTTGACTCTTCAATGTCATAAGCATAGAAGTAATTCTCTCCATTGGAGACAGCAGAATAATGCCTCAGCATGTCTCCAGTTTCATCAGTACCTGTTCACTGGGAATTCATTCTGTCCACCTCACTGTTGTGTATAATCAGAGAGGATGTGGGGTAATGACCTGTGTATCTAAGAGAAGCTTTAGAGTTACGAGTTACTAATGTTCTCTCTAGACTTGATGAAGCCACTGGAACATAAAGTTGGCTCGTTGGGAACATGTTTTCATGAGTTTGCAGCTTTGCCTGGGCCATACTAGCTGATTTAGCGTCTGATAACCATGATATTTTCATATTGTCGCATAAATCCAATATCATATCTATGTTCCTCAGATTTTCTCTTTTTCAAAAGAATGTTAAAATAATCAGCTTGGAGTCGAAGCCCATATCTTCTGAAAAATAGCAGTTTGGCCAGTATTAACTTCTGCTTTGAGATGTGGATGAGAAAACCATCTGTGAAGCTGGGATTTTACTTTGTTCACAAGGCAAATGGGAGTGGGTGATAAGGGAGCCCAGCCTGGAAGAGGGCACGGGTGGGAACTGCAGGGCAAGGTGACCCTTGATGGATTCCCACATGAAGTTCAGGTGTAGCCAGGTCCACGCTTGCCCCGAAAATCTGAGCTGAGAAACTCAAGCAGTCCTATGGCTGGAGGCATGGTTTACTTGGGCAGCAGAACCGTAGGAATCAGGTAGTTAACAAAGACTGCAACAGATTCTGACTCAGGTCTTGTAGCAGTTCTAATCCAAGCTTTCACAAAAGCTGTGGAATTGAAAGCTAAGATTTAGCCTAATCTCAGCTGCCTTTGCTTTGCCACAAAGGCACTACTAGATCCTAAATTTAGATTATCTTCAATACTTGTGCCGAAAATAGGAAAGGCGACATCTTCCTGCTCTTTATTCTCTTCTTCCTGATTACTACATAAAGTGAATTATTTATCTGTGGGCCCCAGAGTCCTCTTGAGCAATTGCAAGGGCACATGGAACTGAACCATACCGATATTTATAATGCTTCTTCCTAGATCGTGATCTTTCAGAGAATCTTACGGGATTTGCAGGGTCATTAATTAGTCTTATGGCGATGGTATCTGTGACTGAGCAATCAATAGAAATAGAATCCATTTGCACAAAATTACCATAGAGAAAGCCCCACAATATGGTGTGGGAAAAAGGACCCTGAGACTTAAGGTCCAGTCCTTACTCTGCTGTTAATGGTTCCTGTGATCATGAGCCATTGCTTCCCCACTCTAGGCTCAGTTTCCTCATGTTTAAATAAGAGCACTGAATCAGACTCTCACACGCCCCTTCCAGATCTATCATATTACGGAGTTTGAAATGTTTTGAGCTGTGAAGTTATTTTCTTTTCCTTTATATTATCTTTATATACATATTGACCTTGTTTTTATTGTGGCAAAACATACATAACAAAAAGTTGACCATTTTAACCATTTTTAAGTGTGCCGTAGTATTAAGTACTACTGTTGTGCAACCGTCCACCTCCAGACCTCGTCATCTTCTTAAACTGAAACTCCATTCCCATTAAACAGTAACTTCCCTCCTGACAACCACCATTCTGCTTCCTGTTCCTGTGAATATGACTGCTCTACATACCTCATCTAAGTGGAATCATACAATATCTGTCCTTTTCTGTCTGGCTTATTTCACTTAGCGTGTCTTCAGGGTTTATCCATGTTTCAAAATTTCCTTCCTTCTTACAGCTGAATAATATTCCATTATATATATACACACACACACACACACACACACACACACACACACACATTTTGACCATATTAACTTTTTAAAAATTCACATAATTCAAAACCACCTGGAAAAAATATTTAAAGCAAAATTTAGATTTTTTTCTTTTAAGCCCAAACACCAAGGAAAAGGAAAAAGAGAATCAGGTAGTACATGCATAATGGCAGTTGGAAAAAATGAGAAAATAGGATGGTTATTCTTGGGCACAGTTCTCAGTAAATCTCCAAAGTGTGGTAGGGTGTTTTTAAGCACTCCTTTAAAAAAAGCAAGTGGATCAATAACAATGTAATACCCATAAGCGATAGATTTAAAAACACCACCACCTCAGCAAAGTAGGAATAGAAGTAAGATGGTTGCATCTGATAAAGGTTTTAAACAGAAACTTAGGAGAGGGTGTGCATTACAAGGCTAAACGCATTTGTCAGAATTATGCAATTCAGAATCGTACATTCCAATATATGTACATTTTACCTCAAAAAAATTAAGTGAGGGATACGGACCATTGACAGCAGGGTTTTCACCCCCCGCACTGTTGACATTTCAGGCCAGGGAACCTTTCACTGTGGGGCTGTCCTGTGCATTGTGGGATGTTTACCAGCACCCCGCACCACTACCCACTAGCTGCCAGCAACACCCTCCCGATTTTGACAAGGGAAGATGTCTCCAGACATTGCCAAACATCCGAGCACGAGTGAGGGTGTAGCCAAACCACCCCTGGTGAGAGCCGCTGGACTAGAGGCATGGATGCGGTGTGATGAGAATGACAGTGTCTTTGGTGGTAGCAGCTGCGTGGCAGGTACGTAAGGAGTCATTATACTAGTCTGTGGACTTCATACATGTTTCAACTTCTCCATAATAACAAAATTTACCAGAAAAATAACACTGGTGTTACCCTACTCATGAGTAATCCAAAATAAAATTTTATTTTGAGAATTGACATAAAACCCCATGCTCCCTGAAATTAATCTAGCTTCCTTCTAGATTTTCTGATTGTAGAACTTCTGTTCAGGGGCACCTGGGTGGCTCAGTCAGTTAAGCGTCCAACTCTTGATCTCGGCTCAGGTCTTTTTTTTTTTTTTTAAGATTTATTTATTTATTTATTATTGAGAGAGAGAGAATGATAGAGAGCATGAGAGGGAGGAGGGTCAGAGGGAGAAGCAGGCTCCCTGCCAAGCAGGGAGCCCGATGCGGGACTCGATCCCGGGACTCCAGGATCATGACCTGAGCCGAAGGCAGCCGCTTAACCAACTGAGCCACCCAGGCGCCCTCGGCTCAGGTCTTAACCTCAGGGTCGTGAGTTCAAGCCCCATGTTGTGCTTCTTCATGCTGAGCCTACTTAGAAATTTTTTTAATTAAAAAAAGTTTTTAAAGAAAAGAACTTATGTTCAGAAAAACCAAACTTTCTCCTTCCAATTTTTGTGCGCATGTGCTACT